GGTAGCAGGCGGCAGTGGAAACCACGCCGAGCCCGAGAGCTTCTCAAAACACCCGGTGAAACCTCGGTGTCGGAGGGAACATCTCTGGCCCGAGGGGATTAAAATATCCAAGGTGATAAAATAATCCATCTTCGACAGGTATGCTACGGCCAGTCATCCTCATCTAATGACAAGGAAGAAAGTCCTGGCTTTCCACATCCCCTGGAATATGGCTATCTAGCTTTTTTTTTTTTTTTTTTCTGATTTCTTTTTTAAGAACACAAAGCTGCCTTCTCTTGCAGTGACTGAAAGCATGACAAAAGTTAAACTACTTTGCTTCTACAAACCCATACAGGCAAACAATGCTGAAATTAATATTGAGCCTTCCATGCATGTGAAATCTGTATAGTTTCGTAAGAAGGAAAGTGTTTTCTGTTCAAGCACAGATATTCCCTTAGTGATGGATTTAGAACTCCTTGTGCTGTAAGGTAAATAATACAACAAAATACTTTAAAAAGGTCTGTCAGATCATTCTTTCCAGTAAGCCGCTCATTCATCTAAAGTCCCAGGAAATACAGCGCTCTGAACCCTGATACTCATCGACCAGTGTTTAGCAGTAAATAAAGCAAATCCCATCCTAAATCAGAATCCCAATTTTAAGCTTGACGTGATTCAATTTTAGTTGGTTTACACTAATTACAGAAATACCAGTGTGGTAACAATACATTTTCAAACAAGCTTGGAGGGACAGTTTCTTGGCTGGCGGAAGGTAACGTCAGACCGTGCTGCTGCCAAAAGCCATGCTCCTGCTGCAGCTCTTGTGCCTTCCATCAGTGATCACGCAGCTGCTGACCTGGCTGAGAACTGTGCAGCAGGCTGAGCTGATCCCACCCTCAGCACGGTCGTTTAGTCATTAGTGTCAATGCAAGGTAATACGCAGCCCGGGCAGGATAGGGGTAAGACTGGATCATCCTTTCCACAGGCTTTAAGCCACCTGGGAAACTACCCCTGCGGTCTCGAAAAATGTGAAGATAGCAAATGACAGAAGCTCATTAAGACCAAAGGAGAATAAAATTATTGTATTCCTTTTTTTTTTTTTCCTTCATGTGTACTGTAAATATAATTTCCAAAAAACTAAACTCAAGCGTAATTATTGTTTCAAAGGCACAGTACTTCCAAAAGGACTGGCATTTTCCATTATCTTTAGGATCCTTATTCACTTCAGTCCTTGAATCTCTGGTCCACGGGTGGCTTGTACATGAGGCCAAAGCTGGCTCGTTCTCATAACTTCACCAATGGCAATTGCGTTTCCTTCACGAAAACTTCCACCAGGCCTGCGCTGTGTCCTTTCATCTCACCAGTGCCTCCCCACGATCCTGTGCTTCAACCCCAGTGAAGGCAGATGCGGGCTATTTTCTTTCTGTGTAAGGTGCTGATTATTTTTTGTTTGGTTCCACAGTGATAGGAAATTATATATTGGGTCATATTAGTCAATATTTGTATAGTAAAAAATAATGGCTCTAAGAACGGCTCATGTAGGTATCAAAAAGCTTGTGTTAAGCCAACGTTTCCTGCATAATCGCGGTGTCCATACCGCAGAGCTGTCGTCTCTATACACTTAGTAAAACAAAAAGCTTCAACACTCTTCCGGCAGGCTGGCGGAGTGATGTGTTAATCTGCTCCCATTAACAAGACAGCAAATTCCCAGTTGATCACCCAATTCAAATTAAGCGCATGTAATCTCACCGGTGACACTCACAATGGTGTTAACGTAATGCATACATAGAGATAGACAGGATGAAGTAAGTGTCCTCAGGAGTGCTCAGCTTCCACCATTAATATCATTTAGGCGCTCTGAATTTTAATATGGGTCATTAACACCAAACTTCTGTAGTCGCTGTTTTAAAGACAGAGCCTTTTAACTGTGTCAGTCTTTCGCACAAGGGGTGTAGGCAATGTTACAGGTTTTCCAGTTCGTGGCAGGATGGGGGGGTCCCATCAGACTCCACCATGGAGGTGTACTGTATGGGAGGTGGTGGTGGCTTGAAAGACGGAGGTCTGTTCATACTGAAACAGAAGAATAAAAACGCAGTGTCACACAAAAGCTATATAAAAGACTGTTGTAAAATGTTCACAGGAGGAGGCAGATGGACAGTAAATCATTACAAGAGCACCTGACATTTGCTCTCACACACTGCAACTTCCCTGTTTCTTTTCTATAGCTCCACCGAACCTCCTGGTACTTATTTGGCTTTCTCAGCTCCCACCTCACAATTTTACTTTATTCACACTTTAAAAGAACAGATCATGGTCCTGGTGAACTGTTCAAAACCCTTTCTGAGCTATTTTGCTCACACTGCTCCCTAAAATTATATTTAAAGACTCATAACAGGTGTTTTTGGCAATTTATAGGCTAAGATAAAGAAAGATCCCATCCCAAATCAGGGGAAAAAAAATCAATCCCATTTTGACCTTCAATATACAGAATTTGCAGTCATGTTTTAACAAGTTTTTCTAGAACCACAAATGACTCATTATCACCATGATTTTTGAAACATTTTAGTAATGTTAGTAAGATTAAAAATAATTGGCTTTTAGATACTTAGATACTACATCAGTAGATCTCAGAGTGCTTTAGTAGGGAATTAAACTTTGGTAATAATTACAAACTCAATGCTTCTTTGACTGGCATTAAGTTTCGAGTAGCCTACTTTCACATATATTATTCACAACTCAAATAGAACTGCCCTAAAAGTACAATTTCATTAAAACATGTCCTCAAGTAACCGTGCAAAATGAGAGAGTAAGAGCAGATGGCAAGGAAGCTAATAGAAGTCGGAGGCTCTGGGGAAAAAAATTGACTTGTATTCTTCCCTCACACCCTGAAGCTGCCACAGCTTTTTTTTTTTTTTTAAGTTTATTTTACAGATAACCCACAGGACAGATGAAAGGACTGAGAACGCTCCACATTTCACACCTCTGTATGAAAAAACATTAGCGATCCACATACTTAAAGGTCTGGTGCGTTATGGGTAGTCTCAAATGAAAATGCGCAAATCCAAACAGCTGGGTTAGAGTTTGTGCTGTCCCCTGTGCCACCCCTCCCGCCCCTGCGGTTCCTCTCCCCAGTACTTACATCTCTTTCTGGTACTGACACCATTTCCTGATGCCCAAAGCTATTAGAAAACTGCAGAAGAGGAGCAGGACGGCTACCACTGTTGGCCAGGGGAAGCGACTGGCTTTGGTGTTCCTCATACCGCCTGGAAGGGACACAGGAGACAGAGCTCAGCTGAATGTCCTCGGGGAGGAGGGAAATCCGTGCTTGCTGCCTGTGGGTCGCTGCTCCCACCAGGCACTGTACTGGTGACAATGCAGCCCCAAATCAACACCCGACCGCCAGGTTCCCAGGTGGAGGATCCCAAACTCTGAGCATTGGAAGCTTTAATTTGTGAACTTCACTCATTTTTGTTCTGACTGGGTTTGCCGGCTGATGTCAGCCACCCATTGATTCACAGGATGACATTATTCAGGCACAGCCCAGCCAGCTTTTCATCCAAAAACCAGTGGTTTTCTCTGTTCCCCCATGAGCTTCTCTGAGAAGAGGAAGCACGTCGTGGTGTAGCTGGGCACAGCTGCCTGCCCTAGCCCTCCCACCCACCACCTGATTTTTCACGCCTCTGACAGCAAACCCTGCCAAAACGTCTGGCCAAGGGCGCAGCCGCCTTTTGGGGTGGCCTCTTGCTGGCGGCGCAGCATCCCTGCCTCGCCCCGGCTGCCTCTCCCCACCGTGGTGCTGGGATCCCCTCACTGCCCCCTCCTGCGCAGCCACCCCCGGGGGTGCTGGTGGCTGAAAGAGGTGCCCTCGGGGTCCTGGCTATGGGGAGGAAGGAGAGGAGGAACATGGTCCTCCTCCAGCTGCCATGGAGGGTGCAGCAGTAGGTTTGGTGTCAGAGAGGGCTGGAGCACAAGAGTCAGTGGGCGATACCACCTCAGTGTCACCTCCAGTTGTGCTGGCGTCACGACCCTTTGCAAGGTTGGTCATACTGGTACATCAGCCCAGCCTGGGTCCTAGACACAGCGCTAATTCCAGGCTTCTTACAGACATCCTGGATCCTGGAGCCAGGACGAATCCAGACAGTAGGGACACCTCCACGATCACCATGTTGGAAATGGATCTCTTCCCAGTGTACCTGGGGAGGAAGATCAAAAAGAGAGTCTCTCCCAGCCTCCCCTTCCCTCTACAGGCGGGAATGCCAAAAGCCTGTGATAAGCTGCAGTGTGGGGACACAGAAACCATGACTCCTCTTTTCATCTCTTTTCCCTTTTTTTGAACTGCCCTGGTCAAATGTACACGATGCTCCAGGTTTCACGCTTCTCTGCTTTTCTCACTTACTGCAACAGCACGCTGAAAGAAGAGGATTTGTAGGATAATGTCTCACCAGTACTATTGAGCAGACTGCTGGTAGTAAAGAAACCTTTCCCGACTGAAGTTGGCTGGTCTGTGATGCTGAAGGACAGGTTACCTAAAAAGATATTGGTACAGAACATTTTTAGTAACTTATTTGGGTTTTGGTGTTGTTTTGTTTTTTTTTTTTTTAATGAAGATTGTGTTTTGAAGCCACTGTTATTCACCCTGATGAAGACTGGTAATCAAATTCCAGAATCAAGGTGTCAAAATTCACTTGGCAAGACAGCTACATTTTTGGCCTACAACCCAGTGTTAGACAAAAAATGTGCTTTTATCAAATTAAAGAATATTAGAAGAAAGAAAGAAAGAAGGAGTATTAGAAAACACCTATTAAGATATTCCAGCAAGCCAGCATTGAGCTGCGCAGCAGTCTGGGACAATGATAAGCTTTTTACCTCTTTGATGGTAATGAAAAAGCTAAAGATATTAAGTGGCTTAGCAGCAACACAAAGAGTCTGCCTCTGCCGTGACTGAGTGAAACCTCAGTCGCCTCTGTCAAGTACTGTGTCTCAACCACAAAATCATCTTTTATCTGTTTGTAGACAGATATTTTGCCTTTCCTAATACAGCTAAGCTACCTATGTTTAAGATCAGTGCTGCCTAAGGATACGTTCCTGTTTCTTCTAGCCATCTCCGTTCGTCTCTTCCAAAATAATAGCTAAAATATGCAACTAGACAATGGCACAGCGTCTCCAGAGCTGCCACAGCACTTACGATGCGCCAGGGTTGTATTCTCAGAGGAGCCCGTGTCATTCCTGAGGCTTTGCAGGGATTCGGTGGTGGAATCATTCAAATCTGTACAAAAAGAAATAATACCCTTCAATTATCTTACAAGCCTGTACGTGACTGCTTCGTTAGGCTTAACTGTGGCTATTTTATACCCTTTGCTTTTCTCTGATGCAAACAACAAATGAAACAACATAGATACCTGTAAGTCTCTCAATATAATTGCTCATTTATAAATCCCAGAAAAAACCCCCATTGTTTAAATGATGTAAATGAGTAATGGGTAGAGCCAGGAAAATCTCTTTCTCGTAAGATGCTGATTTTGATTGAAATTGAGCACTCAAGGATTTTTTTGTGTGTGTGTGTGTGTGTATGTACGTATTAAAAAGCCCAACCAAAATCAGTCCAATTTTAGGGCACTCTAAAAATTCAATGAGAGTTTTCGACATTAATTCAATTCAGTTCTTCTTTTCTCCTCGTTTATTAGGTGTTTAATTTTATGGGGATAAGCATGGTAGATCTGGCATTTTAAAAAGTTATATTAAAAAAAAAGGATGCACACTTAGAGATCCCATAACGCTCTGCTCTCTACAGCATGCCGACAAGCACTACTTATTATTATTTACGTAATGGCTTGTTTTAGAGCCTTGGAGGATTGAGCTGATAATGGTAATACCTGTTGTGTGAGCCCAGTGGCCCTGGGGGGGGCACAGGGAACCAGACTGGTTTGTTTCAGCGAGCTGGGCGCTTGGAAATTGCCCTCAATTCCAGCTGCCAGAGGCTGAGGACCCTTGAAGGCCATGCCTCAGCTGGTGGTCAGGCGGGCACGGCTGTAGGGATGCCGATGAGAGGTACAACGCAGGGTACCTCCTGCAAACAGCGGTGTGATTCAGCACGCTTTTAGCAAAAATTGCAACCAGCAAGCTGTGCAAGAGAAGGATGGTGAAGCATTAGAATTCATCATGAAGTTTCGGTCTAAATGTGTGGCTGCGGGTTATATGCGGGTAAATAAGTGGTGGAGTGCTGCCAAAAATATATTCAGAAAATGGAAAGTGGCTGCTACTGTTGCACTTCAGCCAAAAGATGACTGCCATACAAATGCAAAAGCGCATTGACAGGTCCTCCCTGTTCTGAAAGCACAAAGACAAACCAAGACGTTACAAAAGAAAGTCACTTCTGGCTTTCTGCTGCTGAGCAGAGATTTTCTAAAGGGAAAGGTTTGTGAAAAAGTGTCCACCCCTAGGGGTTTTTTTTATTGATTTATTGATCTTTAATGAGGCCGCCCTTCGATGTTCTATTAACCAGCCTTTATTGTCCCACATTATCTCATTATTTCATTGCTGCTCCATGATTTTATTTAGCTTCTCTAGTAATTTATTTCATCTATAAACTACCCTCAGTACTCACTACATTTGCCTAGCAACTCTCTCAATTTTAATATTATTAAATTAAATACGTCTAATAAACCCAGGATACTTAAATGCTTTTCGTTCCTCTTTTGCTGCTGCAAATCCTTGACAGCTCGGAAGAGTCAAGTCTTTATCTTCTAACTCAGTGCAACTCAGCAGGGGAATTGCTTCTGTGAAGTACTGAAAAGCTGGTACAGATTACGGCACCTGACTTTTGGTCTCTGCTCGGACACAACTTTTCCATGTTTACTAATAATTTTTGCATGGCGATGTGATGACTATCAAACTAGTTGAAAATAAGCACTACAGAGCTAATGCTTTTGGAAAAGGCATCACAAACTGAGGACCGTGTAGAGCAGAATACCTGCTGCTGTACTTTTTGCAAGATACTCCAGATCGCTGTAGATTTGCAACCCAACCCTTGCTAAGTTGGTGGCACATTCGCACTTGGCAACACCTGTATTTAGCGACATAGCTCCCCTGCTACAGTCCTGTAAAGCAGAGAACATGCATCGTCTACTTACGCGCTGTTGTCAAACTCTCATTGAATGCTGTGGTGCCAGTATAGCTTTTTGTCTCCACAGTAGAAATCAGTGCTCCTGTTGAGAAGCACACAAGCTTGTAAAAATTGCTGTAGATCATCCCAGCACTCATTCTTCATTTTTCCTTCTTTCTTACCTGTTTCCTGACTGAAGAGGTCAAAGAGTTGGAACATACTACCTGAGATGCTGGCTTCCCTCAGACAAACACCACAAAACTCTGTGTCTGGTTTTAAACTCTGTCACAAGCTAGAAACTCAAGAGGAGTTTGGTGAGATGGATGAATAAACGTATGGGGCATTTGAGCATGTATTTTTGGATTTCAGCTGAGTTTCAGCTGCAACTCAGTAGTTCTGAGTTCACTGGCTTGTTTCATCCTGAAGCCAATAGAGAGTAATGAACAAATGTACATAAATCAGAATTTAAACAGGGTTTCACCAGCTCCAATGAGACAAAACTGTTTTCCCAAGTAGCAAAGAGAAGTTTTGTAGAAGTTAGTGTACAGGAGTCACACCTGTGATGCTGGGTGCCAAATACCAATGTATTTAACATTTTCCTTTACTCTTTTTTTTGAAGTGGTAGGTATTCTAGAGCTAACCTAGATATTTAGCTGATATTCAAACACAGGTAGTTAGCAAGTAGACCTCAATTTTCCCGAGAGGACTATTTCACATTTACTAAAAAGAGTTCATCTTTCCTAACACCTGTCTCATTGTTGGAAAAGTATCATTAAGCCATCTGAACAAACCTGAGAAGGTGAAATGAAGCTGTAACCCAGCGCTCAAAGCCTGAGCATCTCTGGACTCAGAGATGGAGCTACCATGGAAGCTAAGCAAAGACCAGGCTGCAGTTTGAATAGCCTTGGGTTTGTCTTCCCCTCCTCCTTCTCCTGTGCACTTTTCCCTCGTATCAATTCCCAGCTGTCTCTCGGGTTTTCGTTAAAAAATTACAAAATAACAGGAACTGAACCAAACCCCTTTGTAGAACAGCAGACTTGGACTTGGCATCCTGACTCAACTGCAGGCCAAAGGATCTGCTCGAGAAGCTGATGGTGGCGCTGGTGTGGGAAGCAGCAGTGAGACAGAGAGGAGAAGCACCAACCCATGGTTGGCACACCACAACTGCTGCACATAAGGGGCATTGCTTAAAAGGCAGATGTTTGTTTCCTGGGCTACTTACAGAAAAGAAATGGCTCAGCTCCAGCTTACACTATGACTTTGACCTTCTACCTCCTCAAACAGTGAAGATACATAATCCATCAAGGAGAATCCTCTCTGTTCACATTGTATATTTACAGCTTTTGTTGTGAAATTGTTTGTTGAGACAGAAGGGCTTTCGGTCCACATGGACAAGTGCTTTGCTGCCTGCTGTCAGCCAGGCTGGGCAAGTGCCTCTACTTTGGGGATGGGGAAGGCAGCGTGAGAAGCAGCAAACTTTAATTTCAGCACTACTGCAATGTGTGTTCCTGCCCTGGCATACCTTGTTCTAGCCTCTTCATGCCCCAGGGCTTGACATTGAGTGATTCAGCTGCAAACAGCACTCCGCTGGGGCAGGATGAAGCCTTGTGTTCAACATTGTCCTCCAGTATTACCCCGCACACTGCCCATCACATTAGTTGTGCATCTCAGGGTAAATACTGTTAGAGTGTAATACAGGTTACTTTAAGGGCAGCCCCAGCACCCTTCTAACTGCTGCTTCAAACCAGCCAGTCCTACAGGGATCAACGGCTGGGCTTCAAAAAGGAAAGAGACTTTAAAGAAAAAAGTGTTTCCAGACAGGCTGTGCTGCGAGAAAGTGCACTCTGCTGGGACTGGCGGGCGTCAACCCTTGATTTTGGGGTCAGAAGGCAGGAGGTTCACGGCTTCTCCTGCTCTCAATTCAGGCTGCTGCCACGCTGCCGAGTGCATGCCAGTCGCTGGTGCACATACCTCTCCCCGGGGAGGCGAGGTTAAACCCTTCCAAGTGAGTCACCCTGCCCTCCACTGGCCTCGGTGTCACCAGCCCAGAGAAGAAATCACCGAGTTGAGTCATCTGCTGTAAATGTTTTGTTTGTCGGTGCTTTGTATTTGTACTCCTGTGCTCCAGTGTTTGGGTTGTACTTTTTCTAGCCCTGATGTCATTCTATTTTTGTATGATATTTAATTGAAGAGATACAAGGAATAAGTATTTTAAAAACATATACTCGCTGTCTATTCACTTGCTGAAATTAATGCATATATCCTGAACAGAGCATTAAAAAAGATTAAATCAAGGCAGTATTTTCTCATATATTTATTTTTGAACTGTGGACTTCCTAGTGTATCATGCACTAGGAAAAGGGCTTCAGTGAACAGTAAAGTGTTTGCTACAAAAACTGCAAAACAGTTATTGTGTTTATGTATCATTCTACTGTGTTCTTGAAGCAACAGAGAAAACATTTTTGCTGAATTGATTACCTTGTGTGGTGGAAGCAGGAGCTGAGCTTGCTTGACTTGTGAAATCTAGAGAAGCCAAAGATGTCGACTGGTGCTCTAAAGACAAACAGATTACACAGTATCACATTTAGTTGCAAAGGTCTTTTAAAAATAATATTAATAAATCATAAACCAACCTGTATCAAAGAGCTTGCAGTAGCTGTTGGGTAAATGCAGGCTCTGCAGCAGG